AGGATAATGATCTTTTGGGCACGCGAGGTTTATGTCGCGAAAGTCGATGCACATGCGTCATTTGTTCAGTGCTTTCCTCACCATCACCGTGTTGGATATCCATTCAGGGAATTGGATTTCTTTGATATGTTTGGCTTTCAGCAGCTTGTCCACCTCGACTTCAATTGCTTTGTTGATTTCAGCGTCATGGTGCCTGAGTCGCTGTTTCACAGGTTTTCTGAGGGGGTCGACATTGAGTTTGTGTTCCATGACATCTGGATCGATTCCCGTCAGCTCTTCAGGGAAAAAAGCAAATATGTCCCTGAATCCTCTTAACAACTCCACCATCTGTTTCCGCAATTCATCCTCCAATTCCTTTCTGACCTTAGTGGTTTGGTCCTCCATCTCGCCGATTTGGATCTCCATCAATTCTCCATGTGGCTCGAAGTCACTCCCCCTCGGCCTCTTCTCACTCGTCATTGGCTTCTTTCCCTCCTTGATCTCAGCCCGCTGGTTAGTTTTCACCGCAATTTGATATCATGTTCTTGACAACTTCTGGTCCCCTCGAGCCTCTCCCACTCGATCTCCGACGGGGAACTTCAGCTTCATGTGGTTAGTCGACACCACTGCCTAGAAAGCATTGAGCGCTGGCCTCCCAAGAATTACATTGTAAGTCGACTCGACGTCGACAACCACGAATCGCACCATCTTCACTTTCCTCAAGTCTCCTTCCCCTAGGACGATAGCCAGCATGGTTTCTCCCAGGGGTGCGACCTTCGAGCCATTGAATCCGAAGAGAGATGTATGTAGGGGGGTAAGCTCGATGTCGAGTTCCATCCTTTTGAGACATTCGTAAACGATAACATTCACCGAACTCCCTGTGTCGATAAACAACCTTTGCACCTCGTACCCCGATATCTGTGTGGTTATCATTAGGGCATCATTGTGTGGTCTCTCGACTTCCCCCACGTCAGCTGGTCCAAAATTCATCACTGGTCCGCTTTCATCGACTTGCTGCACCTTGACTTTTGCATATCGACCCCGAGCATACGCTTTCCTTGCTCGATTTGAATCTCCATCTGTCGACCCTCCGAAAATCATATTAATTACTCCCCTCTTTGGTGGGAGTTCCTCCTTCTCCGGTGACCTTGCCCTCTTACGAGGGCTTTTGCTTCTCTCCCTCCTTCGACTCGACCTCTCTCGATCTTTGTATATGAACTATTTCAGATGGCCCGCTTTTATCAACCTTTCGATCTTGTCCTTAAGGTGTCGGCAATCGTCAGTGTTGTGTCCATAATCTTTGTGGAATCGACAGTACTAGTTGCTCTTGGGCTTTACTGGTCCATCCTTTACTTCGTCACGGATCTCCCTTTCCATCACTTCTAGAATTTCCGCATGAGGAGCCGACAGGGGTGTGTATTGAATCGGCCTTCATCCTCTAGATCATCCTTCACCCTTGTCAACTCATGGTGATCCTCTTCTTTCCCCTGTCGACTGACTCTTCTTCTCCTTCTTGTCGTCTCGACTTTCAGTCTGGGACATTTTCACGCTTTGCAAGTAGTCAGCTTCTGCTTCCTCGACATTCATATACTTGGCACACCTCCCCAACACGTCATCGAAACTTCTACCAGGACGCTTAGCCAAGGAGTTTTTGCACAGCCCCGGTAGCAGTCCCCTTGTCAATCCTCCCGACTTGATCTCCTCTGTCGTTGTTAGGCATTCGACACACGCCTTTGTAAAGCCACATATTCTCGCAGTGACTCGCCTTTGTTCTGCTGCATGCTAATTAACGAGAGGTAGGATTTCTCCTGCACCCTTACACTTGCGAATTGATTGAGAAAACTCGAGCTAAAGCCATCAAAGTCCTTAATCGACCCAGCTGGTAGTTGGTGAAACCAGTCCTGGGCCGACCCTGTCAGAGTCGTCAAGAAAGCACGACATTGCACCGGGTCACTGTAGCGGTGGAGCACTGCCATGTTCTCAAAACTCCTCAGATGTCGAGACAGGTCAGTAGAGCCATCGTACCATATGTTCAACTCCCTGAAGCCTTTAAGTAAGTCGGCTCTCAGGATTTGCTGCGAGAATGGACGTTTCTCTGCTCCTCTACTCTTCCTTCCCCCAACTCGAGCCTGCAAATTGCGGACCTGGGCCAACAACTGCTCCAATGTTTCGTCTCTCGCTTGCGGATTGACGGTTCGAATGGAGGACTCCTCCTCGTTCACCCACCTGTTTTGTTGCACATTTGATTGGGCCTGCTGCTCGATATGAGGCTGCTGCTCGACCCTCTGGTTCTGCTCGACATGAATGTTCTGCTCAATCCGCGGATTCTGCTCGACCTGCGCCACCTGCTTCATCTGGGCGGCCACAGCTTCAGAGATCATCTTTTGCATTTTGGCTCTCGTCATCGTCAGCATTTGCCCCTCGACACGGGGTTGCGTTTGCGTCTGCTCCTACACCTCCTGGATTTGCTTCGCCTCGCAAGAGACATCTCCGTTGATTCCCTCTCTCCAACATCTGGGTTAGGGTTTTGACTTGTTCCTATCTGGGTCAACACTTGCATCTTCACTCCGGGTGGAGTGACGGGTGTTTCTCCACCCAGAGTCAACCCCGGTGGTGGAGGCCCTCCAAATGGTGGCATTCCCATCATCTGCATCACTGGGTGTCTAGGGGTGGAAAGTGGTGGTGGCCTCTTGTCCGTCCATGCTCCCCTAAACTCCTCATTCAAGTTCCTCTGCAAACCTTCCTTCTCAACCATCAGCAAACAGATCGGAGCTAGGTGTGAAGCTCTTGCTTCCTTCAAGAACTCCCCACAGACGGCGCCAATATGATGGGTCTCCTTCTAGATCTGAAGAGGACCGATGGATTTGAGCTAAGATTTGCTTGAACCGCCTCTGAATCGTTGCTAGACCGCGAGAATACCTGCAAGAACTCAATGCCGAAAGTGTTTCCGGCGTAGAGCCTCCGACGCTCAAGTCAGTATGAGAGAGATGAAGGGATGCTGCGCAGCAGCTATGAGGAAAGTGTGGAATGAATGAGAGTTAGGGTTTAGGGTTACCTCATCTCCTTTATATAGGAGTGAATACTTATTTGAAGTACCCAAAATGCCCAAGTCGGTGGACCTAAAAGGTCTAAATTGCCCCGGTCGATTCGTCTCCCCTCCTTGCTGAGTCATCCCAAGATTCCTTCTTATCCATTGATAGTCAAGAGGTTCCAAGAAATATACCAAGTGTATGGAATCGTCGGAGTGCCTCACGTCTCGAGGTACAAGGAGTCGACCTCGAGTATAAACGAGTCGACCTAGGATCTTTTGGTTATTCGGAGGCTACGCTCTTGTTGGTTTTCGCAGGTAGATGTCGACTTTCGGGAAGTCGACTGAACAATGTCGACTTCCGAGAGTCGACTTGTAGGGCATCTGCCATTTCTCATCATCAACTTTGCTCAGAGTCGACCTGGAGAAAGTCGACTTCAACATGTCGACGGGTGCATGTCGGCATGTCGAACGGTTTGAGCCGCTATCCGGTCGAGTAGAGAGCCTTTGGGCCGATATATCTTTATATGGCTATATCAGGTGTAAATTATTGCACTTTATATAGCAAATTGGCACTTTATAAAACATCGCGTTGCACCTTATAAAACAATACGTTGCACTTTATTATAACATTCTGCAATTAATTAGTGTCAACAACTATCAACAGAATATTATGCAATATAAATTAATAAAACGGATCTACATTATACTTTAATATCCATCACATTATCTATCCACAAAAAAAGTAAAAAAATAAAAAATCACAAGAATGCTAACGTATTAAAATTTCAGTATTGCACTTCATGTATCCATACGTTGCACTTTATATAATGCTACATTGCACCTTATAACACATTATGTTGCACCTTATAAAATAACACGTTATAACAACCAAAAATACAAACAAAATTATAGTAATTATGTTAATCTATCGAATAATATTAGTTGGTTAAAGGTCGGATTAATTTTTTTTTAAATAAACAAAAAAACGAATATGCTGAACTATATAAAAAAATACCTATTTTTTATTTATTTATATTTTTTATGAAAATCAATACTATTTTTCTATATGTATTTTTAAGTATTGATAGTGCACATTAGAGTTATACGGATTGCACATAAATGTCTACCAGATTGCACAAAATCGAACGAGATCAAACGACCAAAAAATTAGTACGAAACTTAATATTTTTGTTCGATTATTATTATTATTATTATTATTATTATTATTATTATTATTATTATTATTATTATTATTATTATTATAATTATTATTATTATATATCGATTATTTCGATATGATTTCATTTTTTTATTCAAATAACCGAAAAAATAAATTATATTAAAAATATTAATTTTTATATTTTTTTAGTTATTTATATAATCGAAATAACCGAACGGTCGACTACATAAAATATACTTTTATTTTTTATTATTATTTACTTTTTTATCTATATTTATTTCAATAAAAAAACTATAAAAAATATAAAATATTAAATGATATGTTAAAATATTATTTTATAGTTTTATTAATTACAAATTCACCCATGAACTCAATTGTAATTTATTAAAACTACTAAAATTGTAATTAAGTCCCTAAAGGTTATCAAATTTACCAAATTAAGTCCTTGTTCATTAATTTACAAAATTGAGCAAACAAAATCTGAAAAATGGTCCCCATCACTCAATTCCAGCCGCCTCTTCCATCCGCCGCCGCCGACCTTGTCTCTCATGCCGGCGACGAGATCGAGCCGTCTTGAATCAACATATTCTCTGCGCGCCGACGACTCTCTCGCCGTGAAGGCCACTGTCGGACTCGACCGGATGGGGGATGCGTTAGCTGAGGTGTCGTCTGGATCGTGGATTGGACGATGATCGACGGTGGACTGTGGGCGGAGAAATGGATGCGGCAATCGACGGCGGGCGGAGAAATGGATGCGGCAATCGACGGCGGGCGGAGAAATAGATGCGGCAATCAACGGCGGGTGGAGAAATGAATGCGGCAATCGACGGCGGGCGGCAGAGGGCAGAGGACTCGGCGGCGTGTGGCAGCCAACGAGCGATGGCTGCAGATGGTGTACCAGAATCTGCAAACGGTGGCCGGATTGAGATGGGCTGCCGGAGGGGGAGTCGGGGAGGGAGGGATGGAGAGAGAGAAGAGAGGTGAGAGGAGAGAGGAGAGAGGAGATTGGTTGGCAATAATTATGGTTGGCCCCACTCACTTTATTGACTGTTGAAATTACACCATTGTCCTCAACATCATATATTTCACCTTGTAATTGAGCTTTATTTACGGTTGTGCCACCGCGTCCCACTTGTGGCAGATGCGTGAATCAGTTAATCTCAGCCTTTAATTTGACAGATCCAACGATGCATATTTATTCTTATTTCTTTCACCAACCTTTTTTCTCATATGATCCCTTACCTATATATATATATATATATATAATTTAGTGAAAGTGATGTTTAGTGAAAAAATCTAACATTTATTTATTCATTAAGAGTATTTTGAAACATTTTGATTATAAAACTGTGGGGTCAATGCCAATTAACACTCTCTACACCCAATGATTTAATGCCACGTGGCGCTGACACACCACACAACCCACTCACCCTTTCTCTCTCTCTCACACACACAACACACACGCAGTACACACACTTACACACAGTGCAAAGCCGCACGGCCAGTCGCCGGACGCTGGCCCACCTCCATCCTCACCGCCGTCATCTTCCTCAACCGCCGCACTTCCCATCCTTCGTCGCCTCAGTCGCCAGAGATCGACGGTGCAGAGACGCCGTCCTTCCCGTCCTTCATTCCTCCCAGCGGCGCCGACCGTAGCTCTAACTTGATGGCCTGGTTTGTTGTCGATTTCAGATGACCGAGAATTCCAACCGTCGACGCCGTCGTTTCTCCGCATCCTCTGACCCGCCGCTCAACTCCGACGCCGAGAAGGTCGTGTCCTCCGACGACACTCTACAGCGGCACGTCCTTTTGAACGGTCGACTCACAACTGCGAAGACGGCGGCCGGACTCACCGGAACATTGATGTTGGGTTTGGCAATTTTTTGAAAATTTGATAGTTTGTAGGGACTTGATTGTAATCACAAGATTTTATATTATATTTCAATTTAGCCCATGGGTTATAACTGTAATTTATAAAAAGTATATATAAAATATTATTTAGTGCCAAAGTGACTGAATGGGTAAGTCGCCAATCCCGTACGATGTAATGTACTTTATCCGCTGGGTGAGGGGCGGGCATTTTACCAGAGGTTTCTAATCTAACCCTTGTGTAATGTACTTTATCCGCGGGGTGACGGGCGGGCATTTTATCAGAGGTTTCTAATCTAACGCTTGTGTGATTCCTGTTGAAGCATAGACTCTAGGGTGGGTGCAGGGCGAATGAAGCAGATTACATATATGTATATTGTATTTTTATAACCAAAAAATAATATAAAAATATATAAAAAAAATTTAAATATAAATACACTTTTATAATAATAAATAATATAATATTTCAACTATTTAGATTAATTCGATGTACAATTTTATCGAATAAATCTAGTATTAAATAATTAACATCTATCACATCATCTGTCCACAGAAAGCACAAGCAAGCTAACGTGGGCGGATCTAGAAAAATTATATGGGGGGGACGAAATAATTTTCAATAATGACATACTTCATTAAAAAGACAAAGTTGCATTTTTAGAGTAGAAAAAGAAAAAAAGTAGTTCAAAAATAATACCGTTCAAATTTTGTGACTATTAGAATTGTGCTCGACGTTCTCTCAAGTCACGAATCTCATCGATGATTGACTGGTTAATAATAGATCTTGAGCAAATGATACATCTCTTCAACAATTTTTTTTTATCAAATTGTCCAAGCTAGAGAAAATGAACTAAGACATTTAAGAATGATCAATAAATTATAAATACACATATTGAGTCCCAGTTTTAAATCCTAAATCCCTACAAAAGATAAATAAATTAAATTATGAACATGAGCATAAATTAAAGTACTCACAAATATAAAAGGATGATCAAAATACTCAGAAGAATAAATGAATTGTTGCCTGACTTGCTGCTGCGATT